TCCTTTAACTGCTTCTCAGAAGCCATTAGTGAAAAATGGTGATGTGACCAAAGGAAGCTGCACTGATTGTAAATATGTACCAGTTGCAATGCAGCCAACTAGCTAAATGTGACTAGCGAAAGCTGTGACAGTTGTAAGTGTGAGGAATGACAGTTGTAAGTGTGAGGAATGACCACGTAGCTGTTTTCTTTACACCCTCTTAATTTTGAACAGAATGTGGCTTTTGGTAAACCGTAAAGCTAGATGAACAGGATAATTGCAAAAAAAATTACTATATGGAGTTGTGTATGTGAGTGAAGTACGTGATGCACAAGTAGAAACTGGAGAAGGAGCCAAAGTGTTCATAAAACTACATGAGGTGGAGGTATTTATCAGCTTCAAGCATTAGGATTCTAGCACAGAACAAATATAGTAAGTTGAGTTGGGTGGACAAGGATGTGACTTAAACAAGAAGATCTATTGCACTTCTTTTCAGATGTCAATGGTGTTCGTTTGCTTGGTTTTTCAGTGTAAATATATAGGTAGTCCTCAAGTTACGATCACAATTGAGCCCAGAATTTATGTTGCTAAGTGAGAAATTTGTTAAGTGATTTTTGCACCATTATACAATTATTTTGGTCACAGTTGTTAAGTGAATCACTATAGTTGTTAAGTGAGTAACATGGTTGTTAAGGGAATCTGGCTTCCCCAATGACTTTGCTCATCAGAAGGTCGCCAAAGGTGATCACGGGACACCAAATGCTTTCCTAACATTATACTGTACATTCCCTATTAAATAGTCAATAGTCAAGAATGTAAGTATAGTCACGAATGTAAGTAAGGACTGTGACTTTGAGTTTGAGTTTATTAGGACTTGCATGCCGCCCACTCTCGAAAGACTCAGGGTGGCTTACAGAAAAGGCAGGGAAGGGAACATATAAAAATTAAAAAGTACAAACATTAAAATCACACAACATTCATAACATAAAATGGGGCTGGATAAATCAACAGCCCCAGGCCTGCTGGAAGAGCCAGGCCTTAATTGCTTTGCGGAAGGCCGGGAGAATAGTAAGGGTCCGGATCTCCATGGGGAGATCGTTCCATAAGGCCGGAGCAGCAACAGAGAAGGCCCTTCCCCGGGGGGTGGCCAGCCAATATTGGCTGGCAGATCCGGAGGAGGCCTAATCTGTGCGATCTTATAGGTCTCTGGGAGGTAAATGGCAGGANTTCGCTATGCATTGACTTTAACCATTTTTAATTAGTAAAAGTACATTTGATTTCTACGAATGGAGTCTCATTGTCTTTCTTTCCTAATTAATAAATGGAGAGGATCTGACACTTCCACAAATATCTATTATCGGAATAGATGAATACAAAATAGAATAAAAAAGGCCTGTGATCCCAACTAAGCTTGCTGATCCCACAAAGCAATAAGTTGATTATTATGCCTCAGTGAATTCTAAAGAAAAACAGATCAGACAAGAAATTTCCACTGAGGGATATTAATTTAATACTGGGAGGAAAGTAAAAGCCATATGAAAGGCCAACCTCGGAATTTTCTTAAAGTATGAAATCTACAATGAAGGTTGTGTTCAAAGTAATGGTTGTCCAGAGAAGCCAGTGTGGTGGAGATATAATTTGCTTTAATCCTTTAATGGTGGTCAACTGATGAGCAGCTCAAGATGTCAATTAGCTTGAGAACTATTCAAATTCTCTTTTATTTATAAAATGTATTCTTATTGAACCAATGTAACAGAAAATATGCATACATATAGCAATGGTAAAATAATGTAGCATTAAACATTTATAAAATGTAGCAAGAAAAACATTTGGAAATTATAAGCAAAAGAATTTAATAATTTAACAAGATTGATTTAAAAGTTCTCTCCCTTACCCCTTCGTCATAAAAAAAGACCATAAAGTTAAACTTTTAGAAGAGGCCATTTAGGTCAAGGAGTCCAACTCCCTATCCAGTATAAAAAAATAAATTAATACATCACTTGTCTGACTTCCACTTGTATCTCCTCCAAATATCTGTTTCTACTCTCAAACTGAACTGTTTAGGGTTTCCCCTATAACATTCCATTAAGAGTCTGTCTTCCTTGAATATTCCATCCAGCGTTCTGTAATGCAACATGTACACAACATGTCAGAGGATGCTTTGCTTGGCCGAAATAAAAACATACAATGTCCATAGCATTCTCACAATATGTCGAGGAAGTCAATAAAAATGTAAACTTTGTGTATCAAGACTTATTATTGATAAAATGACTACACTTTTCAAGTGCTTACAGATGGATCCATTTATAACCTCCTCTAGAATCTTCCCAGATCAGTCTGATTGATCTCTACTTTGCTGGTCTTCTTTTCCCCAATTTCTGAAGATCATGATATTTATTCTCACCTAATTATATAATATTTTAAAACTCTCCAGATTTTTCAAGACTAAAGATAAAAGTTCAAGATAAAAATTCAGTCAAACAATTATCTGATTCTTTCAGAACTCCAGGATGCAATTCATCTGGCCCTTGAGATTTAACCTGAAAGTAAACAGATAGCCCTTTATTATTTTTTATCAATTTCAGGATTCAATCCTGTCATTCCTCCTGTTTTTCAGCACTTCCTGGTACTAAACATACATTTTTGTTGAGGTACACTGAATAATATAGTGGTATCTCGGTACTCGGTTCTGGGAGGCATGATGAGTGCCAAAATGATGAGTACTGAACAAATTTTTCTGATAAGGAAAAATGTTGTTGAGTCACAAGGCAGTCAACACTGGGAAGTTCTAGCTTGTGTGTTGCCTACCAAATTTGATGAGTTTCAAAACAGTTGAGTATCAAGGTACCACTGTAGTTAAGTTACTCTCTTTTCTTTCCCGTTAAGATTTTGCTGAAATACTTATTCTGAGAAGCTGATCAACACTGATTAGTTAATTGCTTGCTGGCCATAAAGAAAGATTATGACTTAGACTTTCAGACTTTATTTTTTATATTTGGTCTCAAGAGTTGGGTTTCCAATGTCACAATCAATACCATGACCTCATTCAAGGTTATGCTAGCTTCCTTCATTTTCCAAATAGCACCTTAAGAATATCAGAAAAGTCTTGCTTTTATTTTTCAGTGTGACCCATCAGATGCCTTTGAGATGTATTTAATCTTCTTGAAACCCATCCAGATTTGTAACTATCACAACATATTGTGGTAATGAATTGTACAAATTAATCATGCAGTATTAAGAACATACCCTTTTCCAGAATCAATGTCAGTTTTTTGTTTGATATGAGTATTAACCACTGCTGTCTTGATATTGAAACTGAATGTGCTTTTCCATTGCCATAAAACCTAGACCAGAAACAATGGATATAAGTTGCAGAACTTTAGTTTTCATTTAAATATAAGGAAAAGCTTCCTGATATTAAGAACTGTACAACAGTTGAAAGGTTGTGTTCTCGATCTTTGGAGATTTTTAGGAAGAAACTGGACAGCCAACATTCAAACATTGGTTAATTGGATTTCTTGTACATTGTGGAGGCTTTAAAAGATGCTTCCTTCCAACTCCACATTTCTATAATTCAATGCATGGCATCCAAATGATTCTTTCATTCATATCTGCAGGAATTAGGGTTGGACTTCTTACCATTACTTCTGCCTTTGAATTAACTTATGGTGGCATAGGATTGCAGAGCTCCAACTGTTTACATAGAGGATTTGAGTAAATCTTTGGGCCAGTTTTATTATCTTTGGGGATGATAGTTAGCAATGAAATTGGAGATTTCCTTCTATTTTGGTTCTGGGAGGAAATAAATCATTAGCTAACTTATGAAAGGATTTATTGGGATGGGGCTTCCCATTCTCCTGTTCTCTTTTCTAGTGTTTTTTGAATGGTAAAAGAATTTTGAATTTTGCCCTTTATACAAGTTGTGTTGTTTTTAAATTTAGCTTATCCTACCGGTGGATGAAATATGGATTGTCTTTGCCTAAAGAAAATAGGTAGAAAGGAATATGAAGATGTTGGATAGCCATTTGTCTGAAACGGTATATGGTTTCCTGCCTAGGCAGGGGGTTGGACTAGAAGACCTCCAAGGTCACTTCCAACTCTGCTATTGTACTGTATTGTATTGTATTGTATTGATCAGCTGTTTGCAAGGAGTATAAATCCTTCCCTTCCTCACCATCCAGTCAGAGTTGAAGAAGCTTCTCAAATGAGAAATGAAATGCTTTCAAAAAACAAACAAACAGAAAGTCCAGTGGCCTCCTGAAAAAGCACCTTTGGGACAACTAGGGCCTGTATGACTGATAATCCCCATAGACCTGTAGTTAAGATGAAAAGAGTATGGTTCTACATTTAGGCAAGAAAAACGAAATGCACAGGTACAGCATAGGTGGTACCTTGCTCAATAGTAGTAACTGTGAGAGGGATCTTGGAGTCCTAGTTAACAACCATTTAAATATGAGCCAGCAGTGTGCAGCAGCTGCCAAAAAAGCCAACACAGTTCTAGGCTACATAAACAGAGGGATAGAATCAAGATCACGTGAAGAGTTAATACCAGTTTATAATGCGTTGGTAAAGCCACACTGCATTCAGTTTTAGTCACCACGATGTAAAAAATATGCTGAGACTCTAGAAAGGGTGCAGAGAAAAGCAACAAAGAGGATTAGGGGACTGGAGGCTAAAACATACAATGAACAGTTGCAGAAACTGCGTATGTCTAGTTTAATGAAAGGAAGAACTAGGGGAGACGTGATAGCAATGTTCCAATATCTCAGGGGTTGCCACAAAGAAGAGGGAGTCAAACTATTCTCCAAGGCACCTGAGGGTAGAACAAGAAGCAATGGGTAAAACTAGGAGAGAAGCAACTTAGAACTGAGGAGAAATTTCCTGACAGTTAGAACAATTAATCAGTGGAACAGCTTGCCTCCAGAAATTGTGAATGCCCCAACACTGGAAGTCTTTAAGAAGATGTTGGATAGCCATTTGTCTGAAACGGTATAGGGTTTCCTGCCTAGGCAGGGGGTTGGACTAGAAGACCTCCAAGGTCCCTTCCAACTCTGCTATTGTATTTTATTTTATTTTGGTTAGAAGGCACTTTAGTTTCTTCCTGTGATAGTTTCCCTTCCTCTTAATCAAAATATTGAGAATTTAGACCTATTCGAAGATGACTTGCATGCTTAAAAAATTATTCTCCTGTTGACTGCTTGAGCTATGGAAGCAGAGTTTTTCTTTCTTGTTCATCTTCCTTCAAGTTGAAAGTCTCTGATAGAAATGAGGAGACTTGGAATTACAATACTACATATACTTTATGGAACGAGTAGCAATAGGAATAGGATCCACATCTTCTATCCCTTTCTTTCTTATGTCTTGTCCTGCTTCCATGATCCATATCCATGTGAGAAGTACCAATTACTATAAGTTTGATGACTACAACTATGTTCAGTGATGTCCCTTTGGATTTATTAACTCACAAACTCCATCTAATATAATGCCTCTTCTGAAAGAAAAGGCCAAATGGTGCATTAATTAGCATTTTCCTCTAATGGGTCCTCTGTATCTGATTGGAGGTGCTGAGTTTCTCACTACTAAATGCCATTGGACCCGAATGCTGCAAAGACCTAGCAGATGTGGGAAGTTTCCAGAAAAAAAGTATTCCCATTTTTACCTCCAGAAAATGTCCAAAAATGGGCTAAAATTTCTCTACCAACATATCAGATTTCAATGCTGCAATTTAAGGATGCTGGGGCACTACATGTAGTTGCAAACTCATATAAGAGGCAAATTGCAATGATATGTTATTTTGACATCAAATAAAAACCAAGAAGGAAATCCTACCACATTTATGTTTTCCCCCATTAGCTTTTGTTTTCCTGGGTTATACTTTTAGGGGTTTAGTCAGGCAAGATTTAGTCAGGTAACAGCCTCACCTTCCTCCACTGCAACTTTTCACTCCTAGTTGAACGCATCTACAGTACAGGAAGAAATTAAGCAAGATAAGCCAACTAAGGGTTTGAGTTGAGTTGTTCTCTCTTTAGATCTGCATTAAGACAAGCACTTTATAGCCACTTTTTCTGCAATAAGAATTAATGTTTTTCCCCAGAAACTTCCATTAAACCCTCTTGGAAATTTGAATGAAATGCTTTGTCAATTCTGCCTACTTTCAATTTTTCTGGAGGACATACTACAAAGCCAGTTTCAGGAAGTGATTCAAGTAAAATGTCAGATGAGGTCAGAGTATTGGATTGTGAAATACTTCTTGTATTTGGTCTTACTATTTTCACTCTAGTAAACCAACTTCAATAAATAGAAATAGCCATATAGGTTAAAAATATATATTTTTGCACAGATGTTTTTCATGTTTTGGACAGACCTTGGCAATAACTAGAGTTGGAAATCTTACAATGGAAGTGCATTAAGTGAGATAAATTCAAAACAGTAAAAAGGCTTGGAAGAATCATCCAAAACAGATATGCTTAAAATGTAGTATACTGACCTAGTTGATAAATGAATGCCACAGAGAAACAGAAAACAAACTAAGGTCTAGCCCTAAATTATATATAATGAAATTCATATGCGTTGTTGATTGTCTTGGGAAGAATCTCGACTGGTTAAAGATTAAAGCCCAAATCTTTAAAAAAATTCAAATCAATGGGGATGGCAGTTCTATATACATTTGTTACTGTAGAAATATACTTTTATTAACAACCAAAAAAATCTGACTGCTTTAAAAGTAATAATGTATACAAGCAGCTCCCCACCTTCCATCCACCAAAAGTGAGCCATACTACACATGGGTACTTGATGCAATGGCCAAATGCAAAAGAGAATAGGTTTCTAAATCCTTATGTAAAGACCGAGTTCCAGCAGGTGAAGACTGGATGACAGGTTACCCAATTGGAAGGTACTCAAGACCTGTGTCTTGTTTTTGCATTTAATGAGGTTGATCTGGGATAGCACATTAAGTTTGAGACTGGGGCGTATGCTTTTTGTACCATAAACCCATTGGTGGAGATGGCCCTTGAGCCTTCTTTCAGCAATTGGTTTATGCTTCCATCTAGAGGTTAGATGATCATATATCTGAGGGGTCCTTTGTGCTATCTGAGCTTGCTTGTTTTCTTGCAGATGTTTCATTACCTAAGCATCTGATGAGGTTACCTGGTTTGTATACTGAAATGTCTGCAAGAAAGCAAAAAAGCTCAGAGAGCACCAAGGACCCCTCATGTCAACCTCAAGCTACAAATAATCTTCTTTATTAGTATCATCTATCTATCTATCTATCTATCTATCTATCTATCTATCTATCTATCTATCTATCTAATCATCTTTTTAGGTTTTCCTTGTGTATATGTATTTCCTTTCTTCTACGTTTCTTCAACATATCCTCCCTAACAGTTAACCTTCTAACCAAAATGGTGCTTGCTATAGGACCATGGTTTTTCTATAGTACAAAAACCACCCTAACCATTTGGAACTTGTATATTTAGCTGCCAACAAGTGTGGAATCCTGGACTCACAACATCCAATGAGAAAAAGACATAAAAAACATGTAACCCAAGAAACATATACACTGATATAAGTTCTGCAACTGGCTCCATCCAAACACTCCATGACTCAAGTCAAGTACTATATTTATACAAAAGAAAAACAGTCCTCAATTTAAGCTGATCCCTTCCCTCCAAAAGGGAGATTGAAAAACAAAATAAATGTATCTCCATTGCCATTTAAGTGATTATCCAATTATAAAAGTAATTATTTAGGGAAAAACTAATCTTTTAGATGTATGCTATATTCTGCAGGCTGTGGAACCATTCCAACTTTTGCTGGTATGGTCAAACAGTTGATATTTCTATGCTTATCCTCCTTCAGAAGAACATGTGCACGGCACATAAATAGAGAACAGAGAAGTTTAAAGATATTCACCTGCATTCATAAGATTGAGGAGATAAGAAAAGCTCTATCAAATTAGATCAAAAGCACAACTAGACCAGTACGATGTGTCCCTCAATAATCAGCCAGTTGTTCTAAGAGACCTACATGCATGGCATAATAATAGTAATAAATAATGTCATTGCTTTTCAGCTTTTGATATTTTTAAGTATCTCTCCTCTGAATCAGGAAGTTCCATATAATCAAAATAATTTGCCTTATCCTTCCGGAATTTATTTTATTTAATTTTAAAGCCATCAGTTACCATCATAACTCCTTGGGACAGTAAATTGCATACATTGTTTAGAAAGGCTGATTCTAAGGCGATACCTAGACAACTAAAATACTCTTGGTTAGGAAGGGCCTGTCAAGATTATGAAGGCCAATAAATAAAGCAGTCATCCATCCTCCACCATTCAAGTGGGCATAGTTTGGTATGTACACAATGAAAACTACACATTTTGGTGAAATATTTGCCAGGCTACTCAGACAGGCTAATATTGTAGTCTTTGGAAAAGACTTATTACTAAAGTGATTGTGCAGGATCTTTTACATCACTCTTTGCATTATTATAGAGTTGCACTTTTTCAGTTTCTGACCATTTCTAAAAATAATTATGGGAATAGTTGAGCTACTGCCTCAACTTTGCTTATTTGGCAAAATACCCAGTGTCCTGTTAAGAACCTTTTATTTTAGGGCACTGAGCAAGCAAAATGCATATTCACACTACTGAATGCAAGCTGTGCCCTTGACCTACACAGGATGAGAATTCTTCATGAGAAGATTTGCCAGATTCTTACATCCTCTCCATATAAGGAAAGGTATGTTAATTAATTTAAATTCACTGCTGGATCTCATACTCATATTTTGAATCTTACCAATACAGATAATACATACTTGTGCAAATACTGCATCTGAAAAGATAGTGCAGAGATGTAACAAAGAGCCCCTGCTATAATTTTAAAAGAATACAGAGGGAAGTAGAAACCATCTGGGGAGAAAAACAAAACAAAACAAAACCAGATATATGGAAGCTGAAAAATAAGGAAGATGTCATCTCTTATCACAGCATACAGAAAAATCTACACACAAGCAAGGCATTATTTTCATAAACTAAGTATAGTAGAATGAATGAAAAATCTCTGGCAGCATAAACACTGATAAATCTTCATATTTTAGGATGGTTTGGCCCTTTTCCAAAAATAAGTTATTCCTTCTCCAAAGAAACAAGAACAGAAAAAGTGTCATGCTATTCAGAAGCATGATATGGATGCTAGTGAAAACAAATACTGGGTTATCTGCCAGCAGAATCTGTGATGAACCTGCAAAGCAGGTGAAGTTCTTCCAACATAATGAGATGAGCTTCATGAATAGTCTAAAAATACAGCCAGATGAACAGTGGCAGCAGTAGAGGCCCCCCGAGGAGCAGGGAGTCTGAAGATCTAACAGAACTTTAATTTGCTCCATCTAGAGCAAAGAGAGATCACAATACTTTGACGTTATAGCAGCACCAACAATAGACAAACCTTGGATGAACTGAGACCCTGCAGAGGGGCCATAGCTGGCCCAAGGTCAGGCTAAATGCAGTACTAATGAAAGCATCCCACCAGGCTTGTTGAAAGGCTAGGCTCCACTGTGCGCATTGATATATTTATTGTATTTTTTTGTTTTTTGATATTAAAAAAATAATGCCTTATACATTCAAACACTGTGGCCTCTGGCCTGGCTCCTGTTTCCACTTGGCACAAATTTGTTTTGTTTCACAAGCCGATTTTTCTTCTCTCCTCTGATGTTTTATCTCCAGCAAAACATCTTCCGGCAGTTCCAAATGAGGGCCCGGCCCGCTTAAACCAAGAGCTGCTGTTCCCCTGCTGGCCCTGGCTTAGGCAGACAAAGCAAGCCAGGGAGAGGATCCAAGGGCATCTTTTAGAAGCTGTGACTCTTGCTAAACACCTCTTGCTGCCCTTGTCCTTAGCTGGATACACCTGGCTATGCTCTCCAGCACAGTTGCTGAGCTTTTTCTTCAGATTCCACTGGTGAGGTCTGTGATTACTCGAGCTTTTACCAGTTTCCGTAGGAATTCCTTCTCTCGCTGGATGTTGTGTGTCCAGGACTACATAAAGGGGGAGAAGGGAGAGGGGTAAAGGAAGAGAGAAAAAAAGACTCACTCTTCAAGTAGTATACATAACACTGTGAGTATACAGTCCAAGTCAAGAGGTTGTCCTAGACAAGTCTTCCATCAAATAGACAAAAATATTATTATATTTCTGACCACAATACAAATTTCTCCCTCTCTATACACATTCATGGTACATATAGTTGCCAGAGAAATTAATTATCTTAATACATCTAAGGCAGCCTTTACCAACCTGATGTGCTAGACCCGTGATGGCAAACCTATGGCACGCATACCACAGGTGGCGCACGGAGCCCTCTCTGCAGGCACATGAGCCATCGCCCCAGCTCAGCTCCACCGCACATATGCGCGCTGCCTCCTGCCAGCCAACTGATTTTTGGGCCTCTGCCGTGCATACACTGGGGCGGGGCAAATGTGGGAGACATGCGTGCATATGCAGGGGGAGTGCGGGCAGTGCAGCATGCTCCCCTGAAGCCCATTTTTGGTCCCAGGAGGCTTCAGGGAGGCCTGCTAGGCCCAAAAAGGTTGCAATGGGTGTGTGGCGCACCTTCCTGTGGCCTGCATTTGGTCCCAGGAGCCTGCAGGGAGGCCTGCTAGGCCCAAAATGAGGCGTGGTCACATGGTCATGTGAGGGTGGGGTGTTGTGTGTGCATTGCATTATTGGTGTGGGCCTCCCCACGCAGGTTGTCTTGCGCACACGGACACTTTCAGCAGGCGACAACAAAAAGGTTAGCCATCACTGTGCTATAGTTCTCATCATTTTTATTCAAAATATCCGTTGCTTGTTGGCTGGGAGTGATGAGAAGTTAGTCTACTATATTTGAAAAGTAAAAGATCGGGGAAGGCTAGTCTAGGAACAGCTTGATATAATATTTTAGCTAATGGGGTCATATAGAATATATTATATAATATCTGAAATACTAGTTACCTTGTTTCTATAGGATAGCATTAAAATGAAAAACAATGAAAAATTTCCCTTCAATAAGTGAGTGGGAAGAAGTGTCATATTTTGTTTTGTACTTTATATAGTGTAGAAAAGAATGACCTGACCTGAAAGAACTCAAATAATTTAAGTGTAGATATTTAATGTGAGAATATGAAATTGTGATTCATTTTCAGAGCTATCAACAGCTACTTTTGTTTATAGAAATTAATTGCAGAACTTGGCTTTTGTAAGAAAATATCCATATAAAGAAAATATCCATCCACATTTTCTTGATTTTTCCTGTATATAAACATTGAGGCGTTTCATAAAGAACTTTCCAGTGTACACTCTGTTTCCCATCTCATTTTACTACAAGGAGTGCTGCATTCCTTTCTTCATCCATTTCTGGTACAGATTCATGTTGTAGGAAAAGAAATCACATCAAAGTCTTCAGCTATGGAACTTCCCCAAACAACTGCTTAGTCAAGACAGGATACAGTGCCTGCCCACTGATATGTCAGGTTTTGTCACTGATTGACAAGCTAAGGAAGATGCAGAGCACAGAAACAGCTCCGGATAGGAGGAGGAGGAGGAGGAGGAGAGGGAATAAATAGCAGGGGAAAGAGAAAAGAGAAAAGAGAAAGAAAACATGTCTGCTGGGTGCACATTAAAAAAGAAATCGGAGAGATGGTGAGTGCTGTACATTCAGGGTTGGGGAGAGAAGTTTTTAAATTACATTTGCAGCCTCTACAATTTTTTAAGCTATTGTAGTGAAGTTTTTCTCATGCTATTAGATTTGGACTGCAAAAGTTCAGCTGACTACTAAACAGCAGTTGCCATTTGATGCAGTTGTTCTAATTTTTCATTATTTTGTTAGATTTCTCGACAAATCTAATTTTCTCTATGAATTAGGAGCTTGACCTCCAAAAGCTACTAATATAAAAATGGGATTCAAAAGAATTCAATTTCAGAGAGTATGGTACCTGTTGGAATAAATATAAAGATCTTTCCTAGAATTTAATGCTTTAAACTTGCTTTAGTTGTTTATTTATGCAGGGTAGCCTAGACGCTTGTCATTTCCTAGAAGCTTGATCCAAAGATTTTTTGGATTGATTAGTGCAACATCTTAGACTACTCCATAGCTATGTCTTTAAATAGATGAAACAGAAATCCGCATCCATTTTATTTATAAAGTATACAAAATATGTAAATGTGGCTAATAGTCCTTAATCCCCAGACCTTCTTTTCTGATCTTGAGCTTCTTCTCATGCCCTTAATAGTCTTCTTTATTCCACATATGTTTCCAACTACTATAAACTTTCATTTATAGAAACAACTAATACATATTTTTCCTTATAAGAAAGACCGGAAGGGAATTATCCCCAAGCTAAGCAAATAATTTCCTTTTCCCCCAAGTGGCTTGAATTTTTACCATTTTAAAGCCCCTCTGCCCACTTCTAATTTCTGCATTTGCACCCCTAAATCTTGCATTAGCTAATGACTCTATCTCTGTAAGTAATATCATTAGCTTCTTTTAGGGTACTAGAAATCAAACAGAAACTGACCATGAGAATTGCATCTAATAGGTTTAATCATGCAGAATATTTCAGACATGGTTAATATGGGGCCATAAAGACAAGTTAATCACTATCTCGTGCCAGGGCTGGCAGAGAGTAGCAATAGAGGCAGAGTTTGATCACCAGGTTAAATGCTGAATTCTCTGGAAGATTAAAAAAATCACCTAAATTCATTTTTTGGGGTGGGGGTGGGAATAAACCTGCCTGAGATACTTATACTAATCATAACACTTGGAAGATGTTAAAATCTAGGTGAATTTCTGAGATAAGCTTTTTAGACGTAGGCTTCAATTTTTTTCAGTCATTATATAGACTCAAATGTTTTAGAAACAGATATTTTGTCTTAGATTTGCTTTTAAAAAAAATACTGTTCTTTCAAATGCAACATGCAGGATTATAGCATCTCATTATATCCCCTGTGCCCCAACAGCTTGGTATCATTATATTTGTATGAATATATAGTTAAAAACTATATATTGTATGCCACTGTGCAATTGTAGCAAAGCTATTAATTTTGAGGCTAAATGTCTGCTGCTCTATATATAATTAAATGGTACTATCGCGAAAGGTGAAAAAATTCCCAAAGGGCAATTAAAGTAGACAGGCATCTTGTTCAATTGATAAGAGACTGACAGCCGGAAAGTGAATGCTGAGCTATTTCTAATAGACACTGGGACCACGTTTAGAAAAGTTGCATACAACTATTATTGTTATCCATGAGTCCTTCAGCTTCCACATCACATCCATTTATGATGGCTACAGAAATGTTTTCTTTCTGCCATTGTAAACTATAAGCAGTTATCTCTTCTCTGCATTATGCATCAGTGGCACATTGCCTAACTGGCTTTTAGGTCCATGTTAAAGATAGAAGACTAGACCACTGTCACACCTGTATTACCTTGAACGGCTATGTGGTTTGCCAAGCTATTAAAAACAAAACAAACCAAGTACATGTCATTCATTAATGATCATGACTTTGGAGTAAATTCTCACCATGCAAATAAATGCAACTGATACTTTAGTTCCTGAAAATGTTCCCAGCTTTTGTAAAGCCATAGCAATCCAGATGGAAAAGAGCAACACAGTCTGCAACACAAACTGAAGATTTCCATTCCTAGTAAAAACAATAGTTTATTGAAAACAAAAACAATGCACCAAAGACAAATTCCTTGTGTGTCCAATCACACTTGGCCAATAAAGAATTCTATTCTACTCTATTCTGTCCTGTCCTGTCCTATTCTATTCTATACAGGACTAATGAACCAAATGAAATTGCCCTTTGGAGAAACCAAATATGATGTAGGAAAATGTACAAAAGAGACTATGGATGTTTTTTTTTTACAAAGGAAACCAACAATCAAAAGCTTTTCAAACATTTCTTGTTTTTTTGTTATTATATGTGCATTTGGTAATCTGTTATTGAACTCAAGAAACTGAATTTACATAATACTCCGCCCTCTCCTATTTTCCCAAGCACCATCCTTTGAGGTGAGTTAAGTTAAGAGAGAGTGATTGACCCAGTCACCCAGCCAGCTTTCATGCCTAAGGCAAGACCAGAACTCAGTCTCTTTGTTTCCAGGCCATCACCTTTAACATTACACCAAACTGGCTCATACCCATGAATAATTGCCCCATGTTCCCTTAACTCAATGTCGTCATGCTCAATATCACTGTTCTCCATTATGGTCTTATTGCACCTGATGGACTCTAGACAGGATAAAAGTTATTGTCATCACAATGTCCCGACTATCCAAAGAACACACATTCAAAACTCCTATGGAACAACCAGAGCTACCCTGTTGCAAAAATAATATCCCCAGAAAACCTCTGATTATTATTATTATTAAAGAATTGTATCACAGCGGCCAGTTGTTTCGCCGGATTTGGCATTGGTTACTAGTCGGGCCCCACCCAGGGGCCTAGGACGTTGTAACGTATTTTCNGGGGACAGGCCAGGGGAGAGACCATACCAGTATGGGGTCTCCAGCTCTAATTGGTTCACAAATGTACCCCCAATTTCTGGTACCGGTCCTGGCGTACTGGTGCGTATCAGTAGAAACCCACCACTGAGTTACTCCAATATTGCTTCCTATCAGATTTAATCTTTCAATATGACATCTCTTCCTCCTGTAGCCTAGTATTTGTTATTTTGTTTACTGGGTTCAGATGTGATCACAAGTTCTGAAGTGCTAGATAGAGACCCTGAAGGAATTAAAAGTTACTCCTAGTTTAGTAACTTTTTTTTAACAGTTCTAGGAAAATTGATGAAATCTATATTTGTCATTTATGTAACATGTGCAGCAGCAAGCTTGATTGTGCTTTACTGGTAAACAAATGGGTGGTTAGACAATATGAAATTGCTTTCCTAGAATCGAGATAAGATGAAGCTAATATAATAAAAACAACACCAAAGTTTCATGTACAGACATCTCAGACTATATTATGTTTGGTTACAATCACTCTGCTGCTTGGAG